CAGGCTGTGCGATTTATTGGCGAGAGAACCTCCAGGAAGTCTGTGCTCCAGTTAGTGAGTGAAATTCTTGTATTTTATTTGTGTAACAACAATATTTAACAGGTATCGGCTTGTTACGCTAATTAGCCAGATACAAGCAGCCCCAAGCTGCTAAAGATAATGGGAGTAAGTGTGTTCTAACCGCAGCTTTTAATTAGTCAAAGACAAGTCAACAAGAAGACAGAAGCCAAAATGTATTAGATTAACCTTAGTGTTAAACATTAGGGTGATAATGCTTTGAAGAAAATGCGTCTGTGTGAAGTTGTAAAGGCTCAGTTCTCATTTAGCTGCCGTTATGTTAACGGTAAACTTTACAAACAGGCAATGAGAGATTTAGCTACGTCCTGTAACAGAGTCACTGTTACTATCATAAGTGGCTTCACCTGAACCCGATGGACACGAAGGGTTCAAAGGCAGAGAGCCAAAGGGGAAGCGGCTGTGGAGTTTTGCCTGAAACTGTCACACCTGCTCGCCGAGGAGAGCCGTGCACCTCCGATTGTAATGTTACTGTTTAAAAACGATATACTATTCTTTGTGGGGTTCATCAGTGGGGTTGATTGATTCGAAGTACATATTGAAGGACGTTTTGAGTCATCAATAAGTTATTACAATCGTTGTAGCATTCCATGAGATTCAGCAAACAACCTGGGCTGATCAGCGACGTTTCTGATAGGGAGCTTAAGAGGTGGATGCATAATTCGGCAGAACAGATGTTGTAGGCTACCTGCAGAGATTTACATCCACCTTTTTTGTCAGCATATAATGAGCGTTATTCCTGCAGACAGGTAGCTGGGCTGTAACTAGGGTGATGGTTTAGTTAAGGCGAGAAATTAGGTGTGTGAGAGCCGCCTCTGAGTTTGTTTGGTGGATTAGAATTTGCCTAAAAAGGTAGTACAGTTCAATAAGAAATATAAAATAAGATCCTTATAATAAAAATTCAATAAAATCTGACTTGAGTAGTCAACAGGTGTCTAGCAGCATGGATTATTATTGCACAATGTCCAGCAGCAAACTATATATTGTACATATTAGTAAACAGTGTATTTCACATTGCCACCCCTAATTACTGTCACATGCCAGAGAGGTTATCATGCTGAGGTGATCTCAGAGTTCAGTAGCTTTATGGCACTTTGGAAAAAGCTGCTTAACGGTCTACCCATTGTGGTGTTTATAGGTCCCAGAGGAGCTGACTGCAGAACCATCCAGATGTGATTTGCCGTGTCCAGCTCTTCAGGAGATAACAGCTCCGGCTTCCAGCTCTTCAGCTCCTGCTTTGCTCAGCCTTTTCTTTTTACTCACAACACCTGAACACTACTGATGTGAAATTATGACACTGGGTTCTTATCAACAGATTCTATCATTATAATAACTCTTAAAACACATTATTTCAAGTCATACAAAACTAATTTTACATTTGTAACCTTTTAATATTGATGTTTTCATGAATGCAAGACAAGAGTTTAAAACTATTGCTTGTGTATTAGGAATAATTTGTTATAAAATGTATCAGACTAATTAAACATAAAATAAAATCACATTCTTCATTCATCATCAGTTTCCTATGTTAATTGTAAATAGTGTGATTTAAACAATATACTATAGTTAACAGCTGTAAATGAAAATATAAAGATGGTATTTACATTTTGCATATATTTTAGTAGAAAGTAAAAAATAAAATATACTGTTTTATTTTGACATTTCTTTAAGAGACAAATGTGACATTTACTGAGAAGTTACTTAGTTGTTGTGAAAAACAAAGACTTGTCTGCACAGTGAATAGTTTTGAAGCCCTGTACGAGGTGTCATTTATTGCGATCTCTGAGAAGGTCTTGTGTGGTTTACATTGTATAGACTCACCTATTTACTACATGTGCATTCGATCAGCTCTGAGACCTCAGAGTTAGCAATAATAAATACCACCTAGTGGGATTCATAATTACTCTGTGCAGGTCATTCTTTGTTTCAGCACTTACCTACAGGAGGGTTTGGATGTGCCCATGTTATTCTGTGTTTAAACTAGACTTATATCAGAGCAGCAAACAAGGCACTCTTTAACTTCAGGCTCTGTTAGTGGGAGTATGGCTCCTTATTTGTCGTAAGGTATAAAGGTAGAAAGTAAAAATACTCCTGCACACACAGAAATACACTGCATAATTACTTTTCAACAGTTCATGTGAAACATGTTAGGAGTATTTTCACTTTTCAACTTATACTAGACTGATGCTCTTTAGCAAGAGTTCAGCTTTAATGTTAAAGTTTAATTCGTGTTTTATCTGTGGTATACGATTAGCTTTTCAGTAAGTAGTAAAGACAGGGAGTGCTAATATATTTAGAATTTATTACAATGTGAACCATAAACCATATATATTTTTTAAATATTTTTTACAATATTTAAAACTCAAAGTAAACATAAGGAGAGAAAGCCTATCCACATCAGTCCACACTAAAAGCACAATGACGAGGCTTCCCAGGTCTCTGCAGCTCTCTGGGCACCAGGTGGACATCTGATCCAGTGTGACTGGGAGGGAAATGTGCAATAAATGCTTCAGGTGATGAAAAATATAAAGTAAACAATACAGATGAGTCTTTAAAAAATAGAATATTGTGGATAAGTTACTTTTCTAACGTAATTCAAAAAGTCAATCTTTGATATATTCTTGATTCATTACACAAAGTGAAGCATTTCAAACCCTTTTCATTTTCATCTTGATGATTACGGTTTACAGCTCATGGAAATAAAAACTCCAGTATCTCAAAATGTTTTAGAGTTTTGCAATTTTAGAATAAATACATTTCTGTATTATAAATTATACCCTCACCTGTCTGCCTCTCTAATCAGCTAATTAACTCAAAACACCTGCAAAGGTTTCTGTAGCCTGTAACCTCTCAGTCTGGTTCTGGTGCACACAATGAACTTTTCCACAGTATTCTAATTTTTTTAGATGGTCCTCTAAAAGATGCCTCAGTGTTTGAATATCGACAGCACTATTATGTCACATACATGGGAGAAGATTGAACAAGGGAGTCTTTAAATGTTTTTGTGTTGTCCTTTTAAAACAGTTTGCTGTCAAATGTCCAGTAGGCAAGACTAGTAATGTTATTTTAGACTCAAAGTTTAAGCTTTGAGTAGTAGAAGTGGAGGCATCAGAACCTCAACAAGAATCTTGTGACAAATTTAAAAAGTACATTTCTCTCTCAAGTGTCGTATTCCAGACAATAATCTGCACTGTCAGCCCTGACAATAGCAGCAACTTACTCAAAATAGCGGTGAGGGTAATTAACATGATAACAGCCATGGCTAACATTTTACAAGCTAAATCGCTTCCATCATGTAAGTAAGGACTCTACCGCTAGCTTATTACGTTTAAAACAACTAACATGCTCAGGTGACATCCAGATAAATGACTCGTAACTAACGTTGACAAATAAACAAGTAAAATGGTTAATTGATTTGCTTCAAATTGTTCGTTTGAGATTTAAGTAAATGTTAACATAATTAATAACTGATTCATAGTTAACTGTTAGCGTTACATAACACGTTACCACATTTATATTTTAAGCATTTAAAACCTTGTGAAGCATAATGTCAATAACAGATGTGACTTATTTTAATATTTTCCAGTGTCTTACCTTCACTGTGAGCTGGTAACGACCATAAACTGGTAAAAACACGGCCACAAGTTCCAACCTCCACCATACAGCAACGGGGGTTTAGAAGATACCTCTGCTAACGCATAGTAGAGCATATAGCATTAGCTCCTTAGCCTGAGCTAACTCGAGCTAGGTGGGAGTGGTTTTAGCAACATGTCACCTCAGCTCCACCCACGATCCACCTCTTTGCCCATTGTTGGTTATCCGGGAGTGAAAAACACACAGAGAGGATCCCTCGAAACTGAACATAAAGGATATATTAAAAAAACAAGTATGAACCACATCCATCGCTGAAGAGAAATTACTCTCTTCCAATGTCTGAGTCTCACTTTTCACACTGACCAAATCTGCAAAAGGAGGGGAATCTTATCCGAAAACATCAG